TTTTCTACATGAAAAATAAATACATATTTCGAGGGTATGTGTTGAGTTCTTATTGGTTACAGTTATTAAGTTAGTATTACATTAGGTTATCGGTTCACAGTTCAGAACCGCCGGTTGTTTACATGAAATAATAAGAATCGCAAACACCCGAAAACGGCTGTTTGCGGGTAGGTTCTTGAACTGGCAGTTTGGACCGGTGTGTATTTATAATATTTGGCCCCGCCAAGATTTATAACAAAATTAGGTGATTTTAGGACTTGTTTGGATTGAGTGATTTGGAGATGGATTTCAAATCTCCACCCCTCATTTTTAGTTGATTTTGGAGCAATAGTGATGGATTTCAAATGACTCCAAAATTGGAGTCATTTCAAATCCATTCCCCAAATCAAATCCCTCCTCAAATCCCTCCATCCAAATGGACCCTTAGGTAATATTTGGACCCGCCAAAATTTAAAAACAAAATTAGGTGATTTTGGGTAATAGTTTATTAATATAAGTTTTCCCATCCCACCCCCAATTTTTTCAAACATAAGCTTAAGGTCCTTAATTTTTTTTCTACACTCTAATGTAAATTTATATATGTTTTCACATTTATCATTACATGAATATAATGTATTATGATTAAAATGTATACTAGTGGAAGAATCTATAAGAATTTATGTATTCTTGTATGTATAATGAATGTCTATAATTTCCTTTTTGAGGCGATCTCCCTGAACACTAAAATTTGTAAGTTATCGCACGTCAAAAAGAAGTTCTTGCATAGTTTTTGCTTTCTTTTTTTTCCTTACAAATTTCCAAGAACTACATTGAAACTAAGTTCTTTGCCACTGAATCGGCCTCGAAGAAGAATAGTACTGATGGTTTTGCGGCCGTAAACTTAAAAATCATCAAAATTAAAGTATTTAACAATAGGTAATACAATCAAATAAATAAGTTATTTAACGACATTAAGTGAAAGTTGATAGTTTTGTCAATTTAGTATGAACATTATGAGGCATTTTGGATTAAAACAAATTCTTGGGATTTAGTGGATTATTTTTTTTGGTTTAGGTCCTTTTTGTATTTTTTTCCCAAATATTTATAGTTGGTTTTTTTTTTTTTTTTTTTTTTTTCGCACAGTAGTTGATTTTAATGATTGCTTTATAAATAGTTAAATGTTTGTCCCATGTTGATAGAAGAAATAATTGTCCGCATTATGTTAAAAAAACAAGAGTTTGGCGATGGGATAGCACCAATTATATCTCTCTTTTTTTTTTTAATCTACTTTTTGGCGCCAATTATTGAATAAATTCATGCACACACGTGAAGTACATGTAGGCACATCAAGACTAAATTTAAATACTAAAAAAAAAACAAATTATCTAAACAAATATCGAAAAGCCTCAATCTAATATTCATCAATGTGTATGAAATGTTTGAAGTATAAGATTAAGATCAAGATCTAATATTTAATCTCTCTTGATGAATTCTTCTTTCGATTTTTCAATGCAAAGATTAAGATCAGTGGCGGAGTCATGATTTGATATTATGGTGGCTTAAATTGTAAGGGTTTAGGGCCATTCACTTCCATTTTTTTAAGAAGTTATTCGTAAAATACAACTCATAATATAATTATTGGAGCCCTTTAAACTAAAATTGGGTGGGCTGCAAATGAATTGAATGCGCGAATTAGATGGAAACAACACTAAAATAGCATTAAACAATTGAGTGAGGGTAGGCGTTATTGGAGATATTAATATTAAATGATACATTTCACTAAAAGCTTAAACTTTTAGTTGAGATGGTCATTCAACATGGTATCAGAGCCATACCAAATGAAAAGGTGCTGAGGTCGAATCCCACAACCACCCATTCAAAAATATTTCAAGTGCAATGCTTCAAATGTAATTCGCGCCTGCACTTGAGGGGGCGTATTGGCCGGAGATATTAATATTAAATCATACATTTCACTAACAACTTAAGCTTGCTTTTGGTTGAGATGGTCATTCAACAGACGTCAACCCACCTCACACTCCACATAGATCCGCTCCTGATTATGATTAAGATGGTTTATAATTTCAATCGAAATTAATACTTGATTCTCCGTCGTTTTCAATTTGTGATTTTTTGAGATTTCTCTGTCATGCCATCTAGTGCTCGAATTTGGAGGAATACTACAGTTGAAGGATTATATGTGATGGAACTTGTGCAATTGTCTTGTAATAATGGAGTTCTTTGTACTAAAGTGTCTGTCACTGTTTAGCACAATTGACTTGACAACATTGTTCAGATAACAACGTTAAATATGTTAGCTAACAAATTTGTTTTATCTATACAAAAATATTCTTCTAATTCATGATGTTATGTTTACCCTTTGGCTAAGGAAAAGAGATTAAAATTTTATGCTAGCAATATTTATTTTGAATGTATATTTGATCTAGTGCATTGTGATATTTGAGGGCCATATAAAGTGCATTTGGTAGTTAATTGTTCTAGGTTTACCTAGACTCATTTGCTCAAATTAAAAAGGCTGTGTTTTATGTTAATATTCCAAAAATTAATTTTGTGGTAAACACTAAATTTAATAAATCATTAAGTTTTCAGGTCTGATAATTCTAATAGTCAACTTTCAAATTTGTGTTTCATAAATTGAGAGTTGTTAATTATTTTTCATGTAGATTAACTCCACAATAAAATTGTATTGTAGAAAGAAAACATCAACATATATTAAATGTAGCTAGATCATTTTTGTGTTTTCAGCCACATGATCTACACAGTCAACAAAATTTTATTTCCACAGATTGATATATTTCATGAACATATTGTAGCAACAAATTCTTATCTGCGATTTAAACAAACAAGAAAAACTTGCACAAAAATAATTTTATTGAATTAAAATA